CTCCCGAGGGCCCACAGCTCTCCCCCTCTGCGCACTCTGCGCTGCAGCAGGCCTTGGGGCCGGGGGACCCTTTCTGCTCCTGGGCAGCTACGCTGCAAAGGACCCCCTGCCAGAAATGCCTGGACGGCAGAACCGACTTCAAATTGTCTTGGAAAAATGCCAATAACGTCGTCTATACCCAGAAGACGCAGGCCGCCTCTCTGCCCGCAGATGCTCCCGCAGATCTTCCACCTCTTCAGCGCCTAGGACAACCTTGCGGCTTGGGATGAGGTGGTCCGCGAGCAAGTGCTCCCTAGGCGAGCTCGGCTGCCAGACCACATGAAGCAGAAACTCGGGCTTCTCCGTCCTTGGGATTTGCTGTCCTGAAGCATTTCCAAGGAATCCTCTGCCCTCTGAAGAAAAGACTACAGCACCTGTACCTGCGAGGCCATCAGAGGGGGAAATCCAAAGACCTTTCTCCCTCCTTAGCACTTCTCAAGGAAAAGTCAGCAAGTAAACAAGCCCGAGCTCTGCTCCGGACTCTAACCCTCCATCAGTTTCCTAAGCCCAAAGGCAACCTCAACTCATGTTTTCGTTGCAGATGAATAATATCTGAAATCAAGTCGTGACATTATTTGAACAGTGCATTGTGTGTTATTCATTATGAATAAAAAATCCGATGTAGAAAGCAAGTGAATTGTTTTCTATAAATAGCGTTGCAACTTACAGCGTTTTGTATGTCACAATTCTTGAGAGGTATTTGAGGTTTCTGAAGTCTGATGTTTTTGTTCGAAAGACTCTTCTTTTGGACATTTTTAAAAGACCTTTGTCAGTTAAACTGATTTTTTAAAAACTGCCAATAATTAGAACACAGTGCGAATTTCCCTTTCCTTCACATGGAGTTCAGTGCAGGACTTCCTGATCAGGTCGGTGCTTGTTTGGCTTGCCTTCACACAGTGATTCCAGGACTTGAGTGCTGTCTATATTTTGGTATTGACATCTTCAACATGACTGCAAATGTGTCCGTGGTTGCAAAGAAGACAACTGTAGTGAATCACGAGGGAATGTTTTCATGGGCCTAGACGCTAAGCAAAAAACAAAACAAAAAAATCACTTCTGTCCATATTTAATTGATCCAAATGTATGGTCCAGATATGCCAAAAAAGCTAAAAGAAATTCTGTTTGTGACTTGTGGGAACAAAGGACAAGTTCTTTAAATGAAACTGTCCTTCACTGTACACTAGGCATACTAATTCTATTTTTTTCTTTTTATTGAGTTTATTGGTACAATCTAGGTATATAATACAGTTACATTCATTATTGGGATCCTGTACCTTTACATGACGCGTCTTGATTCTCATTTTTTTCCCCTTTTTCCTGCCCTCCCTTCACCTCCTCCTCCCCTCCCCATTTACAAACACTTTATTTCCATTTTTTAATTTTCTCATATTTTTTTCCTCTCCCTTATTACCTTTCCCCCACTCTACCCACTTTCCCTACACCTTTAGCCCTTTTCTTCCTATTTCACATTATTAATTTTCTCATTAGGATCTTGTACTATTATAGTTTTTCACACCAGAGAAACTATTCAGTATTTACACATATGTGGCTTATTTATTTCACTTAAGAGTATATCCTCAATATATATCCATTTTCCTATGAATAACTCTAATTTCTCATTCTTTATGGCTGAGTAGTATTCCATTTTATAGAAAAACTACATCTTCTTTATCCAGTTTCCAACAGATGGGCAAATGAGAAGTTTCCAAGTTTTAGCTATTACAAACTGTGCCACTATAAACATGGGTGTGCATACATCACTGTGGTATGATTCTTTTAATTCTTTTGGAAAAATATCCAACAGAGGGATGGCTGGGTCAAATGGAACCTCTAGTCCCACCTCTTTGAGGTATCTCCATATGTCCTTTCTTTTCTAACTCTGCCTTATTTGTACAAAATAAAGAACAACAACAATAAACTGGAAATTTTTGGATAAACTAATCTAAAAACAGTAAGTAGAATGAATAGTTTAGAACTCTAGGATTCAGCAAAATATGACTTTGTAATTTGTGACTTTATGCTTAATTACAATGATCAGTTAAAGAAATCTCTGTATGAAAATTAAAAATAGGGAATCCTAAAATGATAAAACTAAAAAGGAAAGTAAAAGAAAAAATGCAATGATGTAAAATTAGAATCATCCTTAATTCTGAAGATGAAAATGGTCCATGAGCATATTTAAATTGCTTCTTGCTCTTGTAGTCTTATATTATCCTTTTTTTATTGTTTAGAGAATATTAGTTTCTGTAAGCTAAACCACATAGATAAGACCTTACATATTTAATGCAGTGTGTTACCCCTGTACAAATGGAAAAAAATTAACATTTCTAGACCAATATGGTTGTTAATTTCTGTACAATGGCAACTCAACACAGTAAACTGACCACTTGTGGTAGTCACTGGTCTATCAGCCTTAAACCATGTGAATTAAATTGAAATCAAGAAGCAGTCCAAAACATGTCTGCAGTGAATAAACTTTTCAATGTAGTATATTTACCATTTAGGATGAGGGCTCAGACAGAGCTAGGATGAGAGGAGTAGATAAGTAAAACAATTGAAGAAGGTTTCAAGTGAAGCCAGAGGACATAGAATGACCACACAATATTCAGGAAACTGTCGAATTCAAAAGGGATAGACAGAGTAGAAGTAGAAGGACAAGAATATATCCCCTTAACAGCAATAGGGGCTCACTTTCCCTTGAACCCGCTGATCCCTGTGTGAAGTAGAATGACAGAAGAAAAGAACATAAATAAAAGAGAAAAAATGATAAAAGAAGAAATCTGAGTTAGGACAGGAGCAGAAACAGAAAGGGAGATGAGGGATAATATGGTGGAGCAAGAGACTGAGTTGGGGAAAGAGGACAGAAAAAAGAAAGGACTTGCAGAGTGGAATGAGGAAAAGAAAGAAAAAAAGGATTTAAAGGGCCTCTTTCAAAGTATATCTCTGCTGTTATAATATACAACATGCGCAGCCATGTGCAGAACCAAGACCCCTGATCTCAGCTAGCTGATGGCAGAACCCCACAATGCAGACTGACCTCGGGCTGCAAGGCCAGATTGAGTTCCCTGCCCTCCTGAACAGTTGAACTCCACACCGTTCTACTACAGGTTTCCCATGCCCTTTCTTTAAAGATGTTCAAAGTCGGGAACTCAGAAAAATACTCTTCCTGACCACCTCGGCCTCCGCAGAGTGGGTCCAAAAACTGGCACAATCAGGAGGTCTGAAATTGCTGGGGGGAGGGGGGTTGGGGAAGTTGTGGGGGGTTCAGAGGTGCCCCAGCGGCTACCTTCCTGGCGCCTGAGCAATGGCATCTCCCGGCAGGAGAGGGCATGGCTATCCTTCCTGTGATGGTTCAGGGTGAGCAGGCCACTAATTCTATTTTTAATAGGAAAAATGGCCAATTTTATTTCAGCACTCACCTTATTAAAATAACTGATCTGCGAAGTCTAATTCTGCAATTTGCATGCAGGACATGTTTCATTTTTTTGCCTTCACAGAATCTTGAATATGGCTATAAGTATGGAGAGAAGGTCTTGGAACACAGAAAAATCAAAATTCTGTCCTTAACACTTGGGAAAAGAGGGAAAGCATGACAGTGTGACTTTATGCAGGTCCTTGAGGATCAGTGTCACAAAAGGAGAGAATGAGTATTTTATTTGTAACCAGTTCACTGTTTCTCACTGATATTCTAAGTAATAATGATAGAAATTTGATGAAAGTGCTCCTCAAATCAAATATCTGCTCTTTTTTCCTAAATACTTCACACAATCTTGCAATAAAACTTTCTTTGGAGAAGCTTAAAGAATTTGAAACTATCTTTTCATCTACTGTCCTCTCAATTCCTGTATATAGTATTTACTGGTATTATTTCTCTAGTATTTAATAATTATTTTTTTCTTTCATAAATATTGACTGGTATAATCCTACCACTCAGAGGCTGAGTTAGGTAGATTGGGCATTCAAATCCTAGTTGAGCAATTTTGAGTTTTAGTGAGCTAGTGTCTCAAAATAAAAAATAAACAATGGCCTGTGGATGTAACTCAGTTAAAAAGCCCAGTATCACAAGAAAGAAAAGAAAATCATGGCTGAGTTCCTGAATTGGTTAGGACTTGACTGAAGTAAATCAGTTTGATAAGATTTTTCTGTGTAGAGTTTTCACACAAATTCCTGAAGAAGTATTTTTAAAAGGAAATAGGTCAGCTCTTAAAGGCCACATCTCTGGTAGCTAAAAAAGCGAATATAGCCATATATAAAGAAGAATGTGGACATTTTCAGGCAAAACCATTGGTTTGTCAATCTGAAGTAGTACTATAATTATTATACCCCAAATTTTGAAAATCAAATGTAAATGGAACATACAATACCATATGAATCGATGTAGATAAAAGGTACCAAATGTTAATTTAGCAGTTGAGTGAGAAGACCCCAATCCTTCAAGGGATAATGCTACAGTTACCATATTAGTCAAGATTCAACTAAAAAAAAGAGTCAAAGCCACACTAGCTTCCTTTCTGTGCTTATTATTGCAAAACTATTTTCTGCCACTGGAAAAAAGCACATTTTCCCCCCAACTCATCCTCTTTAGTTTTGTCATGACATTGCTGGGTATTTGGGACCAAATTCTCAAAGTAAATCAGCATACAAACATGCCTGCCTACAACTAAGAGGCACCAAGTAGCTGACTAGGTAGGTGACAAGAGTATGTTTCATCTGAGTAACCCTCTTGTAATGTGCTGGACTCTTCTCATTTCTCCAGATCTCCTTCCATTTCCACACCACTAATCCATTCAGTGAGCCTTTCCAGATGAGAGCTCTGAGCCCCAGTTCCTTGGTTACATTTTATTTAGGTCCTTGATTTAATTTTGCTTTAGTTCATGCCTTAAGGCACATATCTAGGGTACATAAAGTGTTTAACAAATACTTTCAACTTTATGAAGACACATTTTCAAGAAGATAAAAACTAAAAAATACCTATGTCAGTAAAATGGACAAGGTTAGTGCCTAAGTAACCTGTCTGGCTTAAGCAAATCAGACTTTTCAGTGAGAGAGTAATGACAGCGGCAGAGAAAGAATTTGTTGTTCCACGGGAAGGAGTCTACTGACTAGAAAACACTGATCAGTCTACAGTCACCTCTGTTCTTATGGCCAGAAATATCCCCGGGGAGCAGGTAAGTGCTGAAGACTTAGAGTGGGATTTTCTCTCACATCATCGTGGCTCCACAGTTCATGAGCTCCCTGTGCTTTCACTTTTTCTGTTGTAAATGGAAAGAGTGGAACCTCTCAGTGCATGCCATAGTCACTGAAGTCCCCATTGGCTTAATGGGTCTGGGCACACAGCAGGTTTTCAATAGATATGAAAAGCTGTGACAATCATGGTGAACCTATGGCAATTGTGTTATTTGTTTTTCTCTTAACAAGAGATGTTAATGTATGAGTTATTTTTCTAAACTAAAACCTCAGTATTCAGGTTTAATTTCAGTGTTGGCCCTTTGTGATAAGTACATGGGTTTTGGATTGCAGTTCAGACACTTATCTCTAAAGGATTCGCCATCATTGAGCTGGGCTATTATTCATGGAGACTGTTTAAATACTAAGAACAGTGTCTGACTTACAATAAGCATTTTATACAATTTATGATTTATTCCTTTTATTAATATTATCTTTATCATTTCAGTATACTGCACTGGTGGAAGTGTCCTTTGAAATGATCATTTCCCAGTGGTGTAGCTGGAATTTGACTCGGGGCAGTCCTTCATTTTGCTGCCCTCCAACATATCTGAATATGCTAACCTATTTAAATAGAAAATGAAAATGATGTGTAGAAGGAATACAGATAATTTTATAGTTATTTATTTATTATAAATATGGTAATCTACAATATCACAAAGTAGAAAATTAAAATTTTATGTACTCTAATCTTTGCCCTGTTGCACTATAATCTCTTTTGGTAAACAACACTACCCAAAGAATGTGCCATCTGGAAACAGACCTACTTCCCACCCCACCCCACCTCACAGCTACCACTGACATTCCCTTTGCTTTCCCCTGATATGGCAAGAAGAATATTGGTCTTCTCAGTTTTTTTATCTACTAGGAGAGACCTTGATGGAATTAACACTTGCCCCTTACCCAAAGAGAATGCTGTGCTCTCACAAACTCACCTTTCTTGTGTATAGTATGATGATCTGGTTGTTGTGTCTTTCTTGTCTCTCTGTGATGAAAGAATGCAGTAAAGCTAGAAACAAGCTCTGGACTGGGGAATAATAATTTATCTTTGAGCCTTGGCCTGTTTGCTAACTTTATCTAATCCTTTTAACCATCTTGCTGTGCTCTGCACTAGATCTTATTCTCCACTTGCTGGGCAGAATGAACTAAGGTTTTGTTCATTTGTTTGTTTGTTTGTTTTAACTGTATGGTTCCATTTATTTGAACTGTTCAGATTTGGCAATTTCACAGAACCAGAAACTATTGCCAGTGGATGGAGGATGGTGCATGGTTTATGAGAAGAAGGGAGGAATTATTACTTAGTCCTTTTCTTTTTTTATTGAGGCGATGAAAATGCTCTGGAAGTAGACAGTGGTGATGGTTATGAAGTGCTAGGAGCATGCTAAAAACAACTGAACTTCATACTTAGAAATTCCTAAAATAGTGAGTCTTATGGCAATTATATCTCAATGAAAATATGTAAATGCTGTCACAAACATCACAATATAAAAATCTAGAGCCATCATGTTTCACTAGACACAATTTTGAGCTATAACAAACTACAATCATCTTTGAAGAATCTTTTTAATTAAGATATATCCACTAAAACATTGTCAATTCCAGGAAAACTTTTCAAAAATTTATATAATTGAAATTGCCCTTCTGAAATAAATGTTTGTATTTCTTTGAAAAAGTGAATTACAACTTCATATTTCCAAAGTTATTAATAAAATTATATTTAGGAAAGGTACTGCTAACTTATAGCATTAAGTGAAAACACTTCACCTTCTTTATAAAAGTGATTTAGAGAGCCATAAGAATGTTGTATAAAACTTTTTCTTTTGGAAACCCCCTATATTGTGAAATTACAAATGTTTGTATTTCTTTGAAAAAGTGAATTACAACTTCATATTTCCAAAGTTATTAATAAAATTATATTTAGGAAAGGTACTGCTAACTTATAGCATTAAGTGAAAACACTTCACCTTCTTTATAAAAGTGATTTAGAGAGCCATAAGAATGTTGTATAAAACTTTTTCTTTTGGAAACCCCCTATATTGTGAAATTACAATATATATATATATATATTAAGATTTGAACATAATATATACAAAGCAAAATTCACTGGCAAAGTTGAAAGCGTATTTTTATATATTCCACTACTACTGTCACAAAACTTTTAGATTACAGTTTCATGTTAGCCATTTTGTGACTAAAAAGGTATGTGATATTAATGTTCTGAACTGAAATGCCAAAAACATAGTTTATAAAATATTTTTCTCTGCTAATGTTACATGAAGGCATGAGTTACCAAATTATGAAGCTATATAATACAGTTTTAAATGATATTCAGAGACTTTTGTTTTCCATGTTTTTCAACTTCTTCAGTTTCAGATTCATTTCCAACTTCAGCTTTGTTTTCATCCTCTTCTTTCTCTCTTATTTCCTGAAAGAAAATGAGTTGAAACAGGAACATCCAAGGCAAGGCTTTATGGGGAGAAAGAGCTTCCAGGCTACCTTGAACAATGGCAAGAGTGAGACTAACTGGTGTGAGGTTTATATAGGGCAGTGTAATGGGGAGACTATCATGAGAGTTGAGAATTGGTCTGGTTGTTGGGCAGGGTGATTGGAAGCAGAGGATCATGAGGGTAGCAGGGTGGAGCAACAAGTTAGGTTTTGCTTCTCCAGAGGGGGTAGGTTTCACGTTTCCAAAGTGACTCATTTCTGTAAGCTGGAACCATTTTAGGAATGGGAGCCACTTTAGAATGTAGGACCATTGGTACCATTTTGTCTGGTAGAAAACTATCATTTCCCACCTCCTCTTCTATGTTCTTTCACATCTTCCTTGTCTTTTCCTTCTTCCTCTTTTCCATCTTTTTCTTTTTCCTTTCCATCTTCTTCTGCATTTCCATCTTCATTTTCCTGTCCATATCCCTCCTCTTTTTCATATTCTCTTCTCTATATACTTGCTCTTTTTCATCTTTATTCTTTTTTCCATTTTCCTTCTCTTTCCCTTTTCCATTTTCTCTTTAAACCTTTCTCTTTTTCATGTTTTCCCTCTTTTCCATCTTCTTTCCCTTTTCCACCTTCACACCCTTTGTCTCTTTTTTCATTTTGGTACTCCTCCTTTTCTCCATCTTTTCCTTTCTGGTTTCTATCTTTGTCCTCTTTTTCATCCTTTCTTATTTTCTTCTTCTCTTTCTCTTCTTTATGTTGATCTTTATTTTTCTGATCTTTTTTTGTCTTGTTTTCCTTCTGCTGTTACTGCTTCTCTTTTCTCCTCCCTCTTTCCCACTGTCATCAATTTTTTCCTCTTTTATTTCCTTAATTTCTTTTTTAAGAGCTGGTGCTTCTATAATTTTGGTTTCTCTCTTTTCAGCATTTTAATTGTTGTAGTCTTTAACAACTTCCTGTTTGATCTCAACTAGTGTTTTTGCATTTGCATCTATGTTTCTTTCTATCATATCATTTTTGGTCTTCATTTTATTAGACAATTTAGCTGATCTTCTCTTTGGCTCCTGCCTCGTGTCACCTTGATCTACAGCCTTTCTTTGGGGCATTGTTGCAACTCTCTATAGGACAGTTTAATAGTCAATGAAAAAAAGACAAAAGCAGTCTCTTCTCAATCTGAGAAGCAACTGAGTCTTTGAATGAACTAATTGCAGCAGGATCCATACTCTTCTCAAAAAGAAAGAGAGAGAGAAAGAAAGGAAGGAAGGAAGGAAGGAAGAAAGAAACAAAGCAACAAAGAAAGAAAGTTGAACTAAATTTTATTTGTTATTCATTTCCCCAGTAGGATATTTCTTTCAACTTTTTGTTTTGGTTTTTTTTTTTTAGTTTGGTATATTTTTTGTTTTCTATTTATCCCCAGTCACTGTAATACAAAAAGCAACAAGTTTTGCTTTCTGTGAAACACAAATGAGAAGGGATATCTGTTATATTGAATGCTACAAGAGCAAATTATGATACAAAAGTAAATCATTAAGTCCATTTACTTTTTTACATATAGTTCATATTATTGATATCAAAGCAAAAATAGTTTATTTGTAATAAGCAAATAGGATTAAAATACTTGAAGATTGTTTTAGATGTTTGAATATCAATATAGTTTTTAAAAGATCAATTTCTTCAAAAGCAATGTGACCTTTTCTCAAACATGTATTCTCTTAAGGGATGATACAGATCCCATATATGGGAAAATTAATTACTGGGGCTACGAATGTGGTTTGGGCTCCAAGAATTAAACACAAATTGTATTCAGTATTTAATTCTATTAAATTTATTGAACATATCAGTAATTATATTCAATTCTTAAAATGAAAAATGTTGACCACATCTGAAAGCGAGAGAAGCTGAGGGTTATTTTCCCATGTGAAATGAAATTTAAAATTTAAAATGAAATTTACACTAATTATTCAAGTTAAAAGTTATCAAAAATAATTTATATTTAAAGAAGCTTTTAGCAGTTTTGAAAGATTTCATTGCATTTATATACATTTTTATGAGTTTATAAATTTGTATGATTTTACTTATTAAATTTATATAATATATCACTATAAGTATATATAATTTATAAGAAGAAAATAATATGGAGATAAGTTATATTAAAATTAAAAAGAACATACTATTACAAAGTTATCAGTAACTTTTATTGTATTTTTAAATTTAATTTCATTAGTACATGTTTGCAATACTTGATATTTTTATTGCATGGAGTTAATGCATGTACATAGCACAGCTTAATTCTTTTTATCATCCTCTTGCCCTGGCTTGCCTCCCCTCCAGCAAACTCTTGATTACTTTCCATTTGTGAAGTATGTTATCTCCCTATTTGCTATTATCTATCTTTTAGTTTGCCCTTTATTTATAATTTTGGTTTCTCATATGAAAGAAATGATATTTAAACTTCAGTTTTTGGTTTGTTTCACTTAACATTAGGGTTTCATTATGGTTTCACATACTCCAAATACCACATTTCATTTATTCATTCAACATAGAGGCTGTTTTCAAAACCTGATTATCACTAATGTGCTGTTATATAGATTATAAATTTAACTTTCAGCTTAAAATTTTTGTTTAGTTATTCCTCAAACTGTAAATAAATAAAATACTCTCACATCCTTTTTTTATATGTGTAGCAAAGACACAAATTCAGATCATAAGTATATTATTCTATCTCGATGCCACTGAGTTTTAATCAGGAATTCATTTAGGAAAACATATCTATCAAAGGTCTGGTAGCATGGGGAGTAGATGTAATGATGAAAGCAAAGTGGATGAGAAACCTTACTGAAACCCCATTAGAGAAGGGAAAAGAAAAACAGAAGTAGAAAACAAAGGGAGGGCATTCAGAAAATGAAGCTTCTGTGTTCTCTATTTAAGTCGTCTGAACAAATCGAGGTCCTCAGAGAACCCAGAGGCAGAGGTTCAAGATCACACACCCACCTCAGGCAGCCCAGCAGCATCAGCAGAATCCCCAATGGCCTGGCCATTTTCTGTACTGGTGGCCCTGGTGGCGCTTACCATCATGTCATCGTGCTCTCTGGGCTGTGACCTGCCTCAAACCCACAGCCAGGGAAATGAGAGGGCCTTGACACTACTGCAACAAATGAGGAGAATCTCCACTTTCTCCTGCCTGAAGGACAGAGAGGACTTTGGCTTCCCCCGCCAGGAGTTCGATGGCAAACGGATCCAGAAGGCTCGGGCCATCTCTGTCCTCCATGAGATGACAAGCCAGACCTTCCGCCTCTTCAGCACAGAGGATTCATCTGCTGCCTGGAACAATAACCTGCTGGACACCTTCTGCACTGGCCTCCACCAGCAGCTGAGTGATCTGGAGGCCTGCCTGACCCAGGAGGTGGGGCTGGAAGAGGTGCCGGTCCTGCATGAGGACTCCAGACTGGCTTTGAGGAGATACTTCCACAGGATCACTCTCTACCTGAAGGAGAAGCAATACAGCCTTTGTGCCTGGGAAGTTGTCAGAGCAGAAATCATGAGGTCCTTCTTGTCATCAGGAATACTTGCAAGAAAGGTGAAAGACTAAGGAATGAGTCCTGGTCTAACTTGCAAAAGGTTCTCATTGACTGTATCACACTTTTAATTTCTGCCACTTCAAAGACTCTCCTTTCTATCCTATTCATAAAACGTTCTGATTGTCTGATATTTTCAGAAATACCAAGTAACACTGTGTTTATCTTTACATGGAATTGCCCTTCCAGCTAACCTTGTAAAGATACAAGCATCTATTTATTTGTCTACTTTAATATTCATTTATTTAACTATTTACAGGATTTATTTTATGTTTCTACACACAATATTATGTACACTTCTAAACTGGAGTTAATGTAATAAAATATGTTCTTTATATTTTACTCAATTTGCCCATTTTTCTTTATTCACTAAATTTGTATTGTATGAAAACTTGTAAGATGTATTTAATCTTTAAAAGGTACTCATAAACCTCAGTGTGCAACCTTATAAAGATATGGAAGACGGAATCCATTTACCCTTCATCAAACTCAAACTGAAAGGAACTACTGACTACCTTCTAGGCTGGAATGTAAGCTCAGTTCATGAATGCTCATGGAGCTCATGTGAGGCTCTGAGTTCCATTGACATCACTTCTGAAAACAAAAAATAAAATCGTATCTCACTGATTTTGTAGATAAAAAAAAACTAAAAGGAACAATCATAGTTAATATCTGTTATATGGACTGCTGCAAAGAGAAAAAGGAAAAACCATTAAAATTTTCTCAGGAATATGAGTGTTGACATATGTTAAGGCATAAAATGACAAACGTAGACTTCTACATCAAATGTCCACTGTTCCTCACATACATGACTTTACAATGCATAAAATGGAAGTTCTGTGTGGTCACTGAAATACCAGCAGTGGAGCTGCTCATGTGACAAAAGGCTAGAGGGAGAAAAAAAAGACTTACACTGGATGTTGGGGCCATTCGTCTTTAAAGGGAGCAAGAGAAGAGTCACAAAGAAAAGTAAAAGAGCCTCATAGTACAAAGATAACCAGAGGGAATGGATAAAAGTGGTTTAAAGGAAATAAGTCTGCTTAGGGGAGGAATTTTTGAAGTCACATAAAGTGTAGCTTGAAACTGCCCGCAACATTCTGTCCCTTCACCTAACACCCCATTCACCCACAGCTGCTTTCTGTCCATGTGTACCCTGGTTTAGAGGTTTCTGCATCCTGGTATCACTAATAGGAAGGAGTCAGCACCAGGCACAAACTCTCCTCTGCTGCAAATACTCAAATGGCTGCTCAGAAACAGGATGAGGTTGAAGGAGTCAACTGGAGGTCATGGACAGAGGATAAAGATAATTAAAGTGTCCACCAGAATAACAACAGGGTCTCAAGAAACAGTTCCTATAAATTGAGCTACTTTTTCTTTCAAACCATAAGACCCAAATTCTAGATTTAGAATCCTTTGGATTCTTTTCCATAGGAAGGAAATGACTGAAGTGGATGTGGAGAGCAAAGAGATCTCCTAGAGGGTTGCAGACAAGAACAGTGTCCTCAACATGGATGACACCGAAGGCTTCTCACCCTAAATACTGTTGCAGAGGTCGAGGGTTACTCCAGTGTAGAGCAATGAGTCATAAAGCACAGGACAGATTATTCATGAAGATAGCACAATCCCAAGTCATCTTAGATCATGGTCAGATGTAAGCTTCTTTGAAAATCAACAGTACAAAAGCAACAGGGACATGGACAAGGTCTGAGTATGTTAACCTGAGGCTCTTGAAGAAAAGCCTTTCTAGGAGGACACATCAGTAATGTGCATATTGGAAGGTCACAATTTCTAAAGGGAAAAACCTTTGTGAATTTTTTTCTTAGTTGATTAAAGAGATGATTTTTAAAGATCAGTTCTCTTCCTTTCCTTGCAGTCTGTGCATTTTGCAATGTTTAGGTATTCTTAAAACTTGGGAACTTTCCTGAAGATTAGGGCCCACAAAACACACCTGCATCAATAAGAAATTAGAACTCATTACCATTAATTGGATAGTTAAAAAGCTATTCTATCTCAGAATGAAAGTTCATCAAAATGATGGTGATGGTTCATTAAAAAGGAGTCAAAACGAAAAGCTCATTTCTTATCTTGGAAAGAAACTTCAAGAGAGCCCACCAAAGAACCATCATGAAACCCACTTGCTGCAGTTCCACAGAAAGCAAGCACTTCCAGCTCTGAAGGTGCTGGAGCAGCATCTCAATGTCCCAGATAGTCTTTGAGGCACTGGACCAAGCTGTGTTGCCTGTGCACAACCTTTTCTCATGTTGACTGAGTTGATTCCAGACCAGTGGAGAAGCTCCATGTGACTCTGTGGGTCTTTTGTGCTTGTGCATATGGGTAGCTTTTCCAATATCTCAGCAAATACTTGGCTTTTATTTCATGTTTGCCAAACTAAAATGCCATCTTTTAAAGCTTAAGAGATACACAGAACATAAAGGCCAAGCTGATGTGTAAATCTTTTTTTTTTTCTTTTTTTTTGGTACCAAGGATCAAACTCAGTACCTTGTGTTTGAGAAGCAGGTGGTGGAACCACTGAGCTAAATCCCAGCCCTACAAATCATCCTTTTCAGTAGTGCATTTTGTAGTTCATAATGATTATATTTATTGTGGGTGCATGTACATGACAAGTGTTTATTCTATTTATGTCTCTTGCCATTCCTCTTTCCCCTTATTGTTTATTTATATCTCTCTTCCCTCCACTTGAAGACCCCTTCTAACTTGCAAAAGATCTATATCTATTTCTTATTATCTATCTTTTGCATGACTCTTTATTTATACTTTGGGTTTGTCATACAGTAGAAATCATAGAGTATTTAAATGTGTCTGATATCATTCAGTATTATGGATTCAAGGTGTATCCATTTTCCCAAAATAACTCAAATTTATCCTTCATAGCACAGTAGTACTCTCTTATGTATAAATATGACATTTTCTTTATCCATCATCTTTTGTGGAAAAATAAGCTACTTCCAAGATTTAGCTTCATGAATTGTGCTGCCATAAACTTGGGTATACATGCTGAACTTACATATGATATCTTTTATCTCTTTTGGGAAGATAGCTGGTAGGAGAATAGATGCATGGAATGAAATTTCCATTTTAGTTTTTGAGGAATTTCCATACTGATTTTCATCGTAGTTCTACCAGTGTATATTGCTATCAAAAATGCAGAAGCAATCTTTGTGCAGTGGCAATATCATAGCCAATGAGGTTTATCCAAAGTGTGATTATTGCTAATTGAAAAATGCAGAAGTGTTCGTTTTTCCACACGGCTTCATCAACATGTTATTGTTTTAATTCTTGAAGATAGCCACTCTTTCTGAAAAGGAATCTCTGTGTTGGTTTAATTTGCATTCCCATAACAACTATTGATGTTGAACTTTTTCTTTTCTTTGTTTCTTTTTCTTTTTGTTGGCACTTGAGGTCGAACTCAGGTCCTTGTGCTTACAAGGCAGGCAGTTGAACCGCTGAGCTAAATCTCCGGACTGATGTTGAACTTTTTGATGTATTTATTGGTCATTTTGACTTCCTCTTCTGAGAAAAATCTAATCTTATCAGTTGCCCATTTTTTGAATGGGTCTTGCATTTTGAGGGGTTTGATTTTTTGAGTTCTTCTTATATTCTTAATATTAATTCTCTATCTGAGGTGTAGCTGGCAAATTATTTTTTCCTGTTGTGGATGTTGTCTCTTCATTTTGGTGGGGGTATTTTTTTCTTCATTTTTATTAGTTACTTCCTTTGCTGAGCAAAAACTTCTTAAGTTGACCTAATCACATTTTTATTCTTAATATTATTGTTTGTGCAATTATATGTCTGTTCAGAAAGTCTTTGTCTACACCTGTCTTTAAGAATTTTATTTTTTCTCCCAGCATAAGTGTTTCTGTTTTAATATTTAGATTTTTTCATCAACTTTGATTTAGTTTAGCACAGAGTGAGAAATGGGGCTAGCTTCAATATTCGCCATGTGGATAGCAGTTTTCTCAGTACCACTGAAGAAGAGGATGTCTTTCTTCCATCATACTCTCTTGGCTCCTTTGTCAAAGATCAGGAGGCAGAATGTGTTTGGGCTTGTTTCTGCAACTCTTTGCCATATCTTTTACTATGCCATTTCTATGCCATTTTTTAACCACTGTAGCTTTGTAACATAACTTGAAATCTGGGATTGTGATGCCTCCTGCTTTGTTCTTGTTGTCCAGAACTGATTTGCCATTTTGGATCTCTTTTGGATCCATATGAATTTTAGCACTGTTTTTTCTAGTTCTGTGAGTACTGTTGGTGGTATTTTGATGGGGATTGCATTAAACCTATATTTCAATTATGAAAGTATGGCCATTTTGACAACATTGATTTTGCCTAGCCAGGAACAGGTGATGTCTCTCAAATTTCTGATGATCTTTCTTTGATCTACTTTGTCAGAGCTCTATAGTTTTTATTGCAGAGGTTTTTCACTTCCTTGATAAGACTAATTCCTAAGTATTTAATTTCTCTTGATGCTATTCTGAATGACATTATTTTCAATAATTCCTTTCTCAGTGTGTTCATAATTGGTGTACAGGAATGACATTGATTTTTGTATAGTGATTTTCTATCCTGCTACACTGCTGAATTTGATTATTAATTTTAAGAGTCTTTCAGTGGAATTTTTGGGGACTGCTATTTAGTGGATCATGTCTTTTGCAAATAATGACAATATGAATTCTCCCTTCCTTGCACATATTACTTTTATTCTCTTTCTTGATCGCTCTGGCCATTTTGAGTTCTACATTGAAGAAGAACAATGATAGTAAATACCCTTGTCTTATTCCTAATTTTAAAGAAAGAGCTTTCAACTTTTCCCCATTTAATATGATGTTGCCTTGGAGTTTGTCACAAACGGCTTTCTAACAGCTTGAGGTTGGGTCATTCTATAACCATTTTCTTCACAGTTTTTTTTTTTTTTAGTATGAATAAATGTTGTATTTCCTCAAAAGTTTGTTGCACATCCATTGATATAATCATGTGGTGTTTTTTTTTTCCT